GATGGGGCACTATTCCTCCCACTGATACCAACAATGGGGCACTATTCCTCCCACTGACACCAATGTTGGGGCACTATTGCTCCCCCTGATACCAACGATGGGGCACTATTCCTCCCACTGACACCAACGATGGGGCACTATTCCTCCCACTGACACCAACGATGGGGCACTATACTTCCCACTGATACCAACAATGGGGCACTATTCCTCCCACTGACACCAATGTTGGGGCACTATTGCTCCCCCTGATACCAATGATGGGGCACTATTCCTCCCACTGACACCAATGATGGGGCACTATTCCTCCCACTGATACCAATGATGGGGCACTATTCCTCCCACTGACACCAGTGTTGGGGCACTATTCCTCCCACTGACACCAGTGTTGGGGCACTATTCCTCCCACTGATACCAGTGATGGGACACTTTTCCTCCCACTGACATCAGTGATGGGACACTATTCCTCCCACTGACACCAGTGATGGGGCACTATTCCTCCCACTGACACCAATGATGGGGCACTATTCCCCCCACTGACACCAATGATGGGGCACTATTCCCCCCACTGACACCATGATGGGGCACTATTCCCCCCACTGACACCAATGATGGGGCACTATTCCCCCCACTGGCACCTATGATGGGGCACTATTCCTCCCACTGACACCAACGATGGGGCACTATTCCTCCCCCCACTGACACCAACGATGGGGCACTATTCCTCCCACTGACACCAATGATGGGGGCACTATTCCTCCCACTGATACCAACGATGGGGCACTATTCCTCCCACTGATACCAACGATGGGGCACTATTCCTCCCACTGACACCAACGATGGGGCACTATTCCTCCCACTGACACCAACGATGGGGCACTATACCTCCCACTGACACCAACGATGGGGCACTATTCCTCCCACTGACACCAATGTTGGGGCACTATTGCTCCCCCTGATACCAATGATGGGGCACTATTCCTCCCACTGACACCAATGATGGGGGCACTATTCCTCCCACTGATACCAATGATGGGGCACTATTCCTCCCACTGACACCAATGATGGGGCACTATTCCTCCCACTGATACCAATGATGGGGCACTATTCCTCCCACTGACACCAGTGTTGGGGCACAATTCCTTCCACTGATACCAGTGATGGGGCACTTTTCCTCCCACTGACACCAGTGATGGGGCACTATTCCTCCCACTGACACCAATGATGGGGCACTATTCCCCCCACTGACAACAATGATGGGGTACTATTCCCCCCACTGACACCAATGATGGGGCACACTATTCCCCCCACTGACACCAATGATGGGGCACTATTCCCCCCACTGACACCAATGATGGGGCACTATTCCCCCCACTGACACCTATGATGGGGCACTATTCCTCCCACTGACACCAATGATGGGGCACTATTCCTCCCACTGACACCTATGATGGGGCACTATTCCTCCCACTGATACCAATGATGGGGCACTATTCCTCCCACTGACACCAATGATGGGGCACTATTCCTCCCACTGACACCAATGATGGGGTACTATTCCTCCCACTGACACCAATGATGGGGCACTATTCCCCCCACTGACACCTATGATGGGGCACTATTCCTCCCACTGACACCAATGATGGGGCACTATTCCTACCACTGACACCAATGATGGGGCACTATTCCTACCACTGATACCAATGATGGGGCACTATTCCTCCCACTGACACCAATAATGGGGCACTATTCCTACCACTGATGCCAATGATGGGGCACTATTCCTCCCATTGACATCAGTGATGGGACACTATTCCTCCCACTGACACCAACGATGGGGCACTATTCCTCCCACTGACACCAATGACGTGGCACTACTCCTCCCACTGCAAAATTACAGTTATGAAGTAGCAACGAAAATAATTTTATGGTTGGGGGTCACCACAACATGAGGAACTGTATTAAGGGGTCGCGGCATTAGAAAGGTTGAGAACCACTGACCTAGGACAACCATTAAATGATGGAGCACACTGTACCTACTATGATAAAAATCTGGTCGCCTACACTTTGGATTTTATATAAGAACAACAAGGAGATATAGAATGATTCAGGAAACCCTGGTTCTGAGTGAGAGGGAGCCACTAATATACAAATTACATTCTTTTTATGCCTACCAATGGCAAGGGACAAGAAATCGCTTTAGGGAAGACAAGTGGAACCTGAAAATATGTACTCATCCTGGCTCTTTACAGGTGAATTGATCCCTCTCATTCAGGTGTGCTTGTCACAGAATGTAGCAGACAAAAGGAGTAGGTAGAACATTTAAGTAAAGAGGCTGTTGTGATAAGGATGGAAAAAGGATCAACAGGTTACGCTACAGTAATGCTTTAGTAACTTAGTTGCAACCCCCCCCCCCCCCCCTCAGTAATGTGCCTGCCTTATTTTTATACATGTTACTATATAGCAAGCAGGCAATGTTAGGCGTAACTATTAGAAAGCCAACAAACTAAAACTGGCTATACTGTAGATGAGTCGTTTTTTTTACATTCAGTCAGAGGGCTGAACAAAAAAAATGAACAGATTCCTCCATCCACACAAATGAGGAGGATGAAGTAATCTCCCTTGCCGACAATTGACAAAAGTTTTCCAACTTGTCTGTTCAACCAAGGTCAACTCCTGCCAAGCAGGGATGGCCACACACTGAACGAAATTTGGCCGGTCTCAGCTGAATGGGCCGAATTTCAATCTGTCTATGGCCAGCTTTAGCTTCATTGAGGCACCTTGTATTCCATTTTTCTTGTATTGTTTTTTAATAAACAGGCAAACGTTTGCATGTTCACTAGCCAGCAACATTAGACATAATGCATCACAAAAGGAGTTTATGTCAGAAGACAGAGCTCACAGTAAACATATGTATGTCAGTGCTGTCTTCTTAGCCATTGGTAAAAGCAGGTTGGCACCAGGCAAATTTGGAATCTATATTTAGAAAAGGGTCAAGGTTTTCCCCTGCTAACTACAAGCCTGTAAGTCTAAGGTCTTCTGTATGGAAGATATTTTGAAGGGTTGACAAAAGACCACAAAAATAGCATGTGCTAGAAAATCAAATCATAAGCAATAACCAGAATAGTTGTATGATGGACAAATACAGGTGCAGAATGTCAATCTTTGAAATTATCCAACTGCCTTTGGAAATTAAAGTGGTTCCAGAGACAAATGTTTTTGGAAACATCATTGTATTCATGAAGGTAAAAAACCTTCTGGATGCAGCCCCCCCCCCAACTCCATTATATGTACTTGAACCCCATGTTGGTCCAGCGATGTGCATGAGAGCAGCGGCTCTCCCAGGGGACTCTCCCCTTATTGACTTACACAGCAGCGGGAGTCACTGGCACCTGCTGTTGTCAATGACAGCCAGTGAGTCAATGGGGAGAGAATGGGGTGGGACCGAGCCATGTGTATAAATAGACAATGTCACAGTAGGGTGGCTCGGGAGCAACTCTGCTCGAGTGCCCCCATAGCAACAGGCATGCAACTGGTGGCACTCAGCAGGAGGGTAGAGCCAGGACTGCCGACAGGGGACCCAAAAGAAGAGGATCTGGGCTGCTCTGTGCAAAACCTTTACAATCACTTCAAGGATGAATGTTTCTCGTTAGACCAAATAGAGTCACTCTTTTTAGTAATTTTTTTTTTTCTGCCATCCTTACCACAATGGTCCTGACAGATCACTAAGTGTGACCAATCTGACATCACAGTCATGTACATACTTATTTATAGTAAATCTAAACCAAAGAACAAAACTTTAATATACTATAGCTAGCTTACCAGTCCTTAGCGGTGGTTGTAGCATTACTGTACTTTCACATCAGTTCCTGTCCTGAGTTTATAATCTAATCTGAGAACTTTTACAGCAAGTACAAAACATACCTATTGATCTTGCCAAAAATACTCTGTGTAATTTCATGCAAGCCAAATTGAAAGTAAATAATTACATCTCCCTTACAAGCTATCCCCTGTAAATTACCAATTACACTGCCACACTATGAAGATGTAGAAAGGAAGACCTCTAGTAGTAAAAAAACAGGAATGTAGACTGTCTGTCTCCATAGATCTAGTGAAGGAGTGAGAGTAACCACCCAAAGGCACCCAAGTGTAATATTTACAGATTTACCAGGTGAGAATAAAGCAAAAAAGAAAAAGCCTAAAAGAAAAAATGCAGCCACCACATTTAAGTCCTGGTAAGCTGTTATAAATTAAAGCGGAACTATACTCACCTCAGCTCCAGTGATGTGGCGTCCCACTGCTCCCCACCCGGCTGCTGACATCTTCGGGCGGCCGGCTTCCGGGTCTCGATCGCCAGTCACTGTCATTGGCCGAGCAGGGATGACATCACTCCCTCGCATGCGCTGAAGTTCAGTGAGATTCGACATTGCTTAATTTATACAGTGAGCTACGAATGCACAGCTCACTGTACAGGGGCGGACAGGCAGGTAAGTAACTGTAATGCAGAAGAGACCAAGCACATCTCTTCTTCGTTAAAATTCCTGCCTGTTCACCACTTTTTCTTTAACCTAAAGTTGCACCTTAACATTTTGTTTTCGGGTTTGATATGGTTTAACAGCCTAACCGAATTTGCTATGTGCAACTAACCACTTAAATTGTTAGCAGAGTATTAGTGGGCCAGTATGAGTGAGGAGACATAGGTCATCCTACACAGCAAAGAAGTGTATGAGCTGCAAAATATCTCAGCAATATCTACACAAAGCTGCAGTGTTGACTATTGTTTTATACTATTAGTACAACAAGGCACCAGAACCAAAAAAAAAAAGCCAGAATTCCCATAGGCGGAAAGAATTTTTACATGTAGATATCATCCTCTATTGATGTGATTAGACTATATACATGCAAACATAATGTTACAAACAGTAATTTAGATGTATTGAAATATGGAAACCTACTTTCTATGTTCACATCACTATAAAATAGTGTAAGTATAGTAAGATTACCTCAGCTCTGTAGGGCAGAAAGATGGCACTAGTAAGATTCCCAGTAATCCCACTTAAAATGTAGATAATGGAGATTCTATGCCAGCCTGCCAGCTTTTCGAGATCTCGTAGTATAGTCATTTGGAAACAAACAGAGACCAGACAATGCAAGATGCTGTAAAACATTAAAAATGAAAGCTAAAACTATTAGATGTATATTCCTGCCCAATATATAGTACATCCTATTATTTCATAAGTGATGTTGACTCGCAAATTACACTATTTTTAAAGTATATCTAAAGTCAAACCTTTTTTTTAATTTACAAAAAGTAGGGAATGCTTAAGACCTCTGTCATTTTTTCTGTTTTGTCAGTTTTATTCTGTCCTGTAGACAACAGGAAGTGAGAGAAAATCTCTACAAAGTATAGTAAATTCTCTTAGTTATGACCAAAGCAAGTGTCCCCACTGGAAGATATACTCTATTTATAAGTTTCCAATGTGGTATATTCCAAAAATTACAAGAAAAAGTGAGAAAAATTAAAATGCCCCACTCAAAGTCACTCTTTGTATTGTTTGAAGATCTTCACAAGTCAGCTCCCACACAGATCCTCAAAAAAATCAAAAGCTCAACATAGTGCATTATCATTAAAGTATACAGCACTCCACACGTGTTTTATATAAGTGCAAAACGTAAGAAAAAACAACCACAGCAACTTGTGTCACAACAGTGATGTGTTACACTCAGTGTGTTCACTACAATGGTGTCTGTCTGAATTCTCATGCTTATAGATTATATACCCTTTCCAGAGAACAAAAATCTCAAAATCGTTGTAAGGTACAATCTAGTCTCCTTGTCTCCACTCTCCAATCTCATCCCCTCCTGGTATCATCAGCCAGTTCCCTGGTCATTCAGATCCATACAGGGTATATGGGACAATGATAGTGTAAATCCGCAAAATATTGTTAAAATATACTTTAATATATCTGCTTACATGAATAAAATGACAATCGCCAGGCAGTGGGGTTTTTTCTTGGAATGCGCGATTGTCATTTTATTCATGTAAGCAGATATATTAAAGTATATTTTAACAATATTTTGCGGATTAACACTATCATTGTCCCATATACCCTGTATAAATAGAGTATATATGTGGTAATACACTGATGATTTTGGATTAATTATTGTTAATTTCATCACTGAGTAAATAGGGTATGTATCACTAGTGGTGGGAGGATTCTTTTTAGAAAAAATACTTTTATATATATATACTACATTGCCATAAGTATTGGGACGCCTGCCTTTACACGCACATAAACTTTAATGGCATCCCAGTCTTAGTCTGTAGGGTTCAATATTGAGTTGGCCCACCCTTTGCAGCTATAACAGCTTCAACTCTTCTGTGAAGGCTGTCCACAAGGTTTAGGAGTGTGTCTATGGGAATGTTTGACCATTCTTCCAGAAGTACATTTGTGAGGTCCAGCACTGATGTCAGACGAGAAGGTCTGGCTCGCAGTCTCTGTTCTAATTCATCCCAAAGGTGTTCTGTCAGGTTGAGGTCAGAACTCTGTGCAGGTCAATCAAGTTCCTCCACCCCATGTCTTTATGGACCTTGCTTTGTACACTGGTGCGCAGTCATGTTAGAACAGGAAAGGGCCATCCCCAAACTGTTCCCACAAAGTTTGGAGCATGAAATTGTCCAAAATGTCTTGGTATGCTGACGCCGTAAGAGTTTCCTTCACTGAAACTAAGGGGCCAAGCACAATCCTTGATATACAGCCCCACACCATAATCCCTCCTCCACCAAACTTTACTGTTGCGATTGTTTCCAGTTGCTTACACTTTGTTATAATACCACTAACAGTTGACCGTGGAATATTTAGTAGCAAGGAAATTTCACAGATGGATTTATTGCACAGGTGGCAACCTACCACTGTACCACGCTTGAATTCACTGAGCTCCTGAGAGAGACCCATTCTTTCACAAATGTTTATAGAATCAGTCTCCACGCCTAGGTGCCTGATTTTATACACCTCTGGCCATGGAGGTGATTCGACCACATGAATCCAATGATTTGGAGGGGTGTCCCAATACTTTTAGAAATATAGTGTACATAGATGGGTCTAATGTGAAACTGGAAATGGGAATACAACATACCCAGCATGAAGGAAAAGAGAAAGCCATAATCTATAACACTGGTCTGGAACCTCTGGATTCAAGAATGGCAGAAGGCCACACACATCATCCATGCAATGTACCTAAAAAATAGGAAAATTCAATTGCATAATTATATTTTCAAGATATAAAAAATATAGGAAAATTCAACTGCATAATTATGTACGCAAGATATACCAATTTTAGTTTAATATAAAATACATGCAAACAACTAGAATATCTCAGCAGGTACATCTTTATGGGTAATCCAATTTTAATAGTAAAATTATCATGATGTTTCAACCTCACTGAGATGTTAGCTGAATTACAGTTTACACTCCAGATGCTTTCTAGGCATGAGTCAGGCAAAGTTCGGTTTCCAGGAGGTTCAGCACAAGGTCCACAAACACCAAACATACATAACTGAACTCTATAGAAGTCTACAGTTGATTAACTTTTTCAAGGATAATCTGCAAGCTATTGTTAAAAAAAGGTAGAAGTAGCTGGGCACTGCCATAGGGAACATGTTCCCCTTAAAATATAATGTGGTGGCTGCCTGGGTGGCCAGGAAAGTGAGAGGAGTGAGAATTAATTCCCTATTACTGAACCATACCATGCCACGTCTTTCAACATTAGGATGGTACCTTGCAAGGGGGTGGCCAAGCCTTGCAAGGCACCTTATCCTAATGTTGGGGAACAAGGACCTCTTCCCAATATCTGATTTCTAAGAGAATGTACGGAGGGGGGAATTACAGGAATTTGGAATCCCCCTTTACAATAAGGGTCCCCCATATATCCTACCCCCCAGGGCAATACGTATGGGGTACATTATTACCACTTAATGCTTATTGCCAAAAAAGTTAAATATGCATAAACACACAAAATCACCATGAAATAGACATTTTAATAAAAATTCTATAAAGAATGCCCGCCTAATGTAATTCCATCATCTATCACATTGTCCGCAATGTACAGTAGATCCATTGTCAATCTGGGCAACCTGCTGCTCAACAATGTTTTCCTGCCACAACGAGAAGCCTCTGCTGCATTACTGCTACTAAATAGCAGATCCCACTAATAATGTAAACAAACAATGTCACCCAGGATTCACAGAGTTTGTTGATTACATTCCAGCAGTGGTGGGGAGTCTTTCGTTAGGCAGCAGTAGTGTGAAGGGGGCAATATGGTCAGGTGGTGGGTCGTCCTAGTGGCATGGAAACATTGTTGAGTGGTGGGTCACCATGGCAGCAGGGCAACATCATCACGTGGTGATGCTGTATTTACATTGCTGTATGACATGTGAGATTAATTTTTTTACAAATAAAAGATTTTTCTCATGGTGTTAGTGTCTTTATTTACTTCTGACATTTGTACATGTACCGTTTGCACATTCCCCAGGGGAGGTTATGCACATCCTATTGTCCCATTCCTGCTCCTCCACATTCTCTTGGGAAGCAGACAGGGAAGAGATGCTTGTCCCCTCAAAAACATGGGGACAAGGTACCTTGCTGGGGGAAGGTGTTATTGTCCTCCTTGCAAGGTAGCCTCTCAATGCTGAAAGGCACGTGGCCTGGTATGATTCAGGAAGAAGGGGCTGCATGCTTGCTGCCCTCCCTTTCCTAGCCACCTAGGCTGCATGGCTTAAAAAGGGTCTGGTTTGAATTTTGGCTGTTCACACAGATGCTGCTGGCTAGTATTGCTTCTATTCAAACAATCAGCTTCCCTACATAGATTCACAAAGAAAAGCCCTTTTTTGAGTCCATTTAAGGCTTTAGCGATGGCCAGGGTACCATGAGTACATGGATCAAAATTCGGCTGGTTCCTACTAAAGAGGCTGAATTTCCATGTATGCCTGGCTTTAGGTAGTAAAGCAATTTCCAACTTTTTTATTTATAATATCGTATTAAGGATGCCCCACTTTCATATTTTTGACTTTTGAGTCCTTTGGTCCTTTGGTATTGACAGATTCAAAAAATAAAATGGGACTAGCTGTGCTTGACTTATGAATTTAGACACTATTTCTCTGATAATGACAAACAACTGTGATTCCAAACTCCATTTAATACATTGAAAAATACTTATATTTTAGTCAATGTCACTGCTCATTAGCCAGTTTAATGCTATTTTCAAGTTCCTATTGGCCCTCTGGCAGTTTACTATGGAATCCATGCACTAATCCCCGATGTCATCAAGTGAAGGTGGCTTCTGTAATATGCACATTTTCTGACCACCCCCCTGATATTCTCTAGCCTCATTGTTATATCCACAGATTATAAAGAACACATAAATTCTGCTTCTTTTCTTAAACAAGTAGATTATCCAGTTAACAAAAAGAGAAAATGAAATTCTCAGGGAACACTGTTTATTTATACAGTGAAATCCAGTCCATCAAAGCATACCTGTGAACATAATGTTGCTTCTTCATGGAAGTATCCTTTCATGAACTCACAGTATTCTCTTGATGTTATTTTACAGCTAAAGAGAGATTAACACATCAGTACAATATCTAAAACATTAAGGAAGAATATATTTGCAACTTTTGTTCACTGAAAGCTTTTGACACTTTCTGATACCCAGTATAACAGTTTTAGATTGAGGACAACTGTCTGAACTGTCTTTAAAAAAAAAAAATGCATGTCGTTTTTGAAGTAAACAAAGGTATCCACCATAAACTGTCAGTGTGTGAAAGATGTAATTGCCTCTTGACACTAATAACTGGTTTTACTGAAACTTTCCTTCACTACAAATCTTAAAATAAAATAAGTCACCCCCTTCGTCCTCAAAACATTGTCTTCAGATTTTGAACACTAATAAGCTTTGCAATTTGCCGGCACACCCAATGACTCATTCAAACTTAAAGTTTATAATCACATTTGTTGATTTGACATGTCAGAAGCAGTGGTGGCAGCAAATAGGGTCCTTCTATGCTGTTCACTGTATGCATGTACTGTAAATGTTAGCAAATAAACTTTACATGCGTACAGTGTAAAATATGACCAAAATCACAGCCCCAGATATAGCTGTGTCCTGTACACAGCCGAACATTTCTGATGCTTTATCCAGCTATGTGAATGGACAAATAGACTAATATATAGCAGCATACAAAACAATATGCTGATCGCTGTGTACATTACATCCATGTACAGTGGATATATATAGTCTACACATCCCTGTTAAAATGTCAGGTTTCTGTAATGTAAAAAAATGAGGCAAACTTTTTTCACCTTTAATGCGACCTATAAATTGTACAACTCGATTGAAAAATAAACTGAAATCTTTAAGGGGGGGGGGGGGGGGTAAACATAAAAAACTGAAATAATGTGGTTGTATAAGTGTGCACATCCTCTTATAACTGGAGATGTAGCTGTGTTCAGAATTAAGCAATCACATTTAAAGTCATGTTAAATAGGAGTCAGTACACACCTGCCATCATTTAAAGTGCCTCTGATTGACCCCCAAATAAAGTTCAGCTGTTCTAGTAGGTCTTTCCTTACATTTTCTTCAGAGGGATCTCATTGTTAAGCAGTATCAGTCAGGAGAAGGGTACAAAAGAATTTTCAAGGTATTAGATATACCATGGAACACAGTGAAGACAGTCATCAAGTGGAGAAAATATGGTGCAACAGTGACATTACCAAGAACTGGACGTTCTTCCAATACTGATGAAAGGACGAGAAGAAAACTGGTATGGGAGGCTGTCAAGAGGCCTACAGCAACATGAAAGGAGCTGCAGGAACATCTGGCAAGTACTGGCTGTGTGGTACATGTGACAACAGTGTCCCGTATTCTTCATATGTCTGGGCTATGGGGTAGAGTGGCAAGACGGAAGCCTTTTCTTACGAAGAAAAACATCCAAGCCCGGCTAAATTTTGCAAAAACACATCTGAAGTCTCCCAAAAGCATGTGGGAAAATGTGTTATGGTCTGATGAAGCCAAGGTTGCACTTTTTGCCCATAATTCCAAAAGATATGTTTGGCGCAAAAACAACACTGCACATCACCAAAAGAACACCATACCCACAGTGAAGCATGGTGGTGGCAGTATCATGCTTTGGGGCTGTTTTTCAGCTGGAAATGGGGCCTTAGTCAAGGTAGAGGGAAATATGAACAGTTCCAAATACCGTCAATATTGGCACAAAACCTTCAGACTTCTGCTAGAAAGCTGAACATGAAGAGGAACTTCAACAAAGGAATGGCTGCACCACAAGAAGATGAAAGTTTTGGAATGGCCCAGCCAGAGCCTAGACCTGAATCTGATTGAAAATCTGTGGGGTGATATGAAGAGGGCTGTGCACAGGAGATGCCCTCACAATCTGACAGATTTGAAGTGTTTTTGCAAGGAAGAGTGGGAAAATATTGTCAAGTCAAGATGTGCCATGCTGATAGACTCATACCCAAAAAGACTGAGTGCTTGAATCACATCAAAAGGTGCTTTAACGAAGTAATAGTTTAAGGGTGTGCACACTTATGCAACCATATTATTTTAAGTTTTTATTTTTACTTTCCTCCACCTAAAGGATTTCAGTTTGTTGTTCAACTGAGTAGTACAGCTTATAGGTCACATTAAAAGTGGAAAAAGTTCTGAAATGATTCATCTTTGTCTCATTTTTTTCCATCACAGAACCCTGACATTTTAACAGGGGTGTGTAGACTTTTTATATCCATTGTAAATGATTCCTAACATTGCCTTTGTATCTAAAAGATATCAATGGCTGTGTTTTAACCAGTATTGAGCAAACTGGCCCAAAGCAGGTAAGGGGAAAATATGGGCTGCAACTTTACTCAGGAATCCTGTGAAGTCCAGCATGATACCTAGAGCAGACTTTCTCAATGTTTTTACCCATAAAGAACCCTAGAAATAATTTTCTGGTCTTGAGAAACTCCTGATAAAACGTAATGTTCCTACTGCTCATTATATACATATTAGTGTGACCAATACGTTGCAGAAAGTTTTTAATTAAGAAATAAAAACTGTACCTATCTGCCTGGAGTTTGCATGTTCTCCCTGTGCCTGTGTGGGTTTCCTCTCACACTCCAAAGATGTGCTGGTAGGTTAATTGGCTTCTGTCTATATTATGTGTATGTATGAATGTGAGTTATGGACCTTAGATTGTAAACTTCTTAAGGGCAGGGACTGATGTGAATGTACAATATATATATATATATATATATATATATATATATATATATGTAAAACGCTGCATAGATTGATGGAGCTACCTGTAATAAATAAATAAATGTGGCATACCTATTGTATTTGACACCCAGGACAAATAATTTTTTACACCCCCAGCCCCAACAACAAAACCATTTTAAGCAATAACGTTTTAAACTAAATAAATAATAATAATAGAAACACATACAGTAAAATTGGAGGTATTGCTTAATATTAGTGGTCAGTGTAAATGTGCCCGCTCGCATTGGTAGTCACCATAGTTGGGAAATCAATTCTCCATTGCTCACTGCTTAAGGTACTCCTAGCAATTTCAGTCAGTCTCCCTGTACTATCCAGTTGTTTTTTACACTTTGGCTAGCTAATTTGGAATCCTGAAGGAAGGCATATACTGTCTTAAGCTGGCCATGCATGGATCCGTTTTTTTTTATATCTGCCCATTTCTCTACGGCAATCATTAGATTAAGTTCTCACAAACGGGAACAGTCGTAGATGGACTGAAATCTGGTTGGTCCCTGCTAAATTGGCCAAATTTCAACCCATCTATGGCTAGCTTAACAATGCTACATGGAATGTTGTTAGGTATGTTCCCCATATTTCTGTTTATGCATACCATTATTCTGGTTAGATCTTTTACTGAGTGACTGAATTATCTATAAATTCACGGACCTAAGCCGGCCATAGATGGTCAGAATCTTGGCCGGTTCAGCAGGGACAGGCCGAGATCCTAACCATCTATGGGCAGGATGCTTGTACTCAATTCAATTGTTGTACGGCTTGGGTACAACCAGCATTTTGGATTTTTCATGCAATTATTTCCAGCGGCCAAGCAATAATTACTGTGTTCTCCTGACAGGGACAGCTCCCCCCGCTGGGGAAAACACAATGGCTCCACAAGAGGGATTGCCCATCAACACAGCCAGTGAGTGGTTGCAGGAAAGAAAATTGCATATGACTGGCCTAACTTCTTGACAACAGAGATGGCCACAGATACTCTTTTAATTAGAGAAATTATCAGCTTCTGAATAATGTATGTATTTGATAAGAAATTTATGAATGAAAATTAGATCATAAATTTAATCTGTATTAGCTCATGAGAGATCGGGAATTACTATATGTTTTAACCAATGGTATTTATAAGTTTTATAAAACCCTTCTTTGTGTAGTTTTAAAGTCAGTTGTAAAAGTTTGTTTACTCACAGTCCTGAAAAGCTTAGCAGACTGCATGCTCTTGTCAGATATGAAGAGTGATTGGTGAGCTCATGCAGCATGCTCCACATTGAAAGGTAATCTCTTCTCCCTTCCCCCATGAATATGCCGTTCTAAACAGGGAGATGCAAGGCTCACATAGAGGCAGGAATCAGTGACATTGTTGTGATGTAATCAGACAGAACTCTGTAGACAGCAGAGAACACAGATCTCTAATTACTATAGTGTCCATTTTAGGAAATAAGTCCTTCCTGAATGATTTTTTTAAACTCAGGATGTAGTAGTAATTGTTGCAGATAAAATGATGCTTCTGTCTTTGTTATCTACAGAGGTCTATCAGGCTATACCAGTGGGACCCTATTGTGTCCTCTCTACACAGCCTCTGTTAAGTTTTTTTTTTTTAACTTGTACCTACATGTCAGCATGTAATAGGGTTTACCTGTAGGTACACTGAATATCTCCTAAACTTGCATGGTTTAGGAGAGATTCACACTGCATGCAGCCGGTGACATCACGGGTGCATGTGCTCTGAAGGGACGACATACCTGTGCCGTCCTTTCAGAGCTCCATGCCATGGCCAAAACTCCCACGCGCATTCGCAGGAGTGACGTCATTGCGGCTCAACCAGTTAGAAGACCGGAGCACGTGAACCCGGAAGGAAGACCAAGTGATGACGGAAGCCCTGCGCACCTCTGGAGGGCTTTGTTCTAAGGTATGTACTTTATAATGTATATAATATAATACTAGCACATTATGCCATTGTCTTGCAGGTTTAAAGAAAAAAAAGTAGCGGTTTACTACCGCTTTAAAGTATAACTAAAGCCAAAACTTTTTTTTTTTAGTTTTGGATATAATGGACAGATATTACAACACCCATCAGATTTTTGTTGCTGTTTGTTACCTTGTTAAGAAGATCCAAAACTTAAAGAAACCCCTAAACTTGGGTTGACCCCAGAGGAGTAATAAAGAGGACATTTTCCAAAGGAGACACTAGTTCTGGTGATATCCAGGAATTGTCTCACTTTGGAAGGATTTTCTCTCACTTCCTATTTTGGCTATGGGACAGAAAGTGAAGGAAAATCTCCTCATTGAGACACCGATGGCAAAACATCTTACAGAGGTTATTCCTGTACTCTATCAAAATGTAAACAAACGTTTTGCCTTTTACGTAATTACTTAACCACTTATATACATAGGCCGGACGGGAGCATTGCAGGAGCGGGTGGCCGTGTCTGGAGGACACAGCGGAACACACCGATCGCTGTATGGGACCTCTGTGTGAGGTTCCAATCATGTGATCAATGATTGGCCAATCAATGATCACATGAATAGTAGTAAGCAAGATGTCACTTCTGACATCATTGCTTACTACATGTGAAATCTGTGAATGATCAGAGGTCACCTAACTTTCCACTTCTTAATAGGAGACTTAACAGTACTGATTGGCATATTAAAGGCTTTGGACATCCTTTTATGTCCTTTTCCATCTTTATAAAGTTCCATTACCTTGTTACACAGGATTTTTGACAGTTCTTTTCTGATCCCCACGGCTCAGTATCTAGCCTAGTCAGTGCTTCCACGTAAGAGCTAACAAAATCATTGACTATTTATACACTGACATTAATTGCAATTTAAAAAGCCACAGATGTGGGACATTAACCTCTAATTGGCATTTTAACCCATGTACGTCACCTTGTGTGTCTGTACCAAGGCCAAACATTCCAGGGTATGTAAACATTTGATCATGGCCATTTGGCAGATTTCTGTTATCATTATGATTTAAAAAGAAGCCAAACAACTATTTGATAATAAATGGCTTCATATGACCATCATCATTTCAATAAAAGAACATTTTGTGACATGATCAGTCATATTTTCAATATCAATGCCAAAATGTCACAATTTCTGCCAGGGTATGCAAACTTTTGAGCACAACTGTATAAACCAGCTGCTGAGAAACCATTGGCCAATTGATATTTGTTTCTCCTTGCCATGCCAGCACTCTGTATGGGGAGTTTCTTCCCCCACATTATTAATTGCTTAAAAGTAAGAAAGTAGATAAAAGAATTCCCAGTGACTCTTTTCCAAGAAATAGGTAAGTATTTGGGGCAGTCTGGTGGCCATTTTTGAACCACAACTTCAAGGGGCACCAACAGATTTTAAGACAATTTATGAACATAGATCAGCTTTAGGAGATTCAAGAATCTGGAACCCCATTTCTTCTAGCAGCTTATATGGGAATATGCTTTAATCAGAACAGATACTTGCCATTATTAATTTGTGTTGACAAGATATGCTTTGACATATATTCCTAATCATAACAGTATCACCATGAAAAACATTTTGCAACAATACCAATGAAATATAGAAATTAAGTAAATTTTTATGACTGTGAATATGATGATATTAAATAATACTTTACCTTCCTTTTGTTCCAATACAGCAGGGCCTGCCTGTTATTTCACAGTTCATATGCAGATGATTAGGGTAACTCCCATTCGTACTATTAGTACACACCTGCAGAAAACCAAAGTATGTATTGACTATGATTCTGAGCAGATGTTTCACACTTCTTAACACAAGAGCTTTTGCTATAACAAATAAAAAGAGTAAAAAGAAAAAAGTGTCCATACACATGAACATTATCTGCAGAATTCTTTTTTCCTTTTTTTTTTTTTAAACCTTAAAGTATAGCAAAAGTAAATTTTTTTTTCTTTAGTTTTTGATAAAGTACAAGATTTTTAAAACCCTATCAGGTATTTTATTTGCCATTATGTCCTGCTCCATTGACACATCAGGAAGTGAGGTGAAATCTCTTCAAGGTAGAGGAAAGTCACAACAACAAACATCCACATTGAAAGATTTCCCCTATATTCCTGTAACAGTAACAGCTTAAACTTTTGGATTTTCCCTTACTTTCAATCTCAGTGATAATGGTTACCAGAACAACTAGAGAATGTGATAATCCCCAGAAGGCACAATGATGTCTAAATAAATCCAATAGGGTTTATAATTCTCCTTACTTTATACAACCCTAAGGCCACATGTACATGGGACACTTCTGAACGATGGAAATGACTGCTGGAAAACGTAGGTTAAAAAAAGTCTGTTTAGCTGTGTTTTCATAATGCGTTTATGTGCGTTTGCGTTTAGAGGCGTTTTTTAAAGATAAGCACAGGAGAACCTCCAAATGCCCAGAATGCACTGCAAAGTAGTAAATTATTAACTTTTTCAGACTGTTTCAGAGAAATACAGAGAGTAGAAGCAGAGACAGCAGTATGCATTGAGATTAGGTGTGAGTTGCTCATTAACATTTCTTTTGTTTCCAAGGGTGGGAATGGTGTCGGGTGGAGTGAGTCATTAAGGCCACCTGGCAGGGGGTCTTAATGCGGAATTTGAGGTGTGAATGGTCATTGACATATCTTTTGTTTCCAAGGGTGGGAGAGGTCTGAGGTGCGAATTGGTCATTACAATGTGTGACAAGCTTGGTAGGAACATCCTGTTTTCAATGTTTTCAGACGCAAACGCTTATAAACGCGATTTGCAGGGTTTAGCTGCGTTTACAGGTGTTTTGCGTTTGAAACGCTGATAAAATCGAATGCTGAACACAAGTTTTCTGCGTTTAAAAAAAACGACTGTAAACTCAAATGCCTGTAAATGACTGTAAACGAAGATGTGTACATGGACACATAGGAAAACCTTAGGGTGAGTTCAGGGGCTGCTAAAAAAAAAATGCTGAACAGCTCCTAAACGTGAGTTTATCAGCTGCAGTGTACATGAGCTCTAAAAAACAAAAATGTTATGTCTGTTTGGAGTAGCCAGGGATACGTTTCATCATGAATAATTGCTACTAGTACACTTTATCACCTAAATCTGTAATAACTGGCCTTTACCCTAATTACTTGCATTGAAGGCTTGTACACACCATTGCATCGTGGTGCAGTGCAGTAAAATGGTGTGCAATGTGCTGTGCTGCAATAAAGCACAACTTGCACAATTTGTCCTGCACACAACACAGCCCAATTTTCAATAGGCCCAACGTAGTGCTCCAGAGTGTATCTCAGCATGTGCTGTGCTCTTCAGAGCTTTAATCTGGTTGCATATGTTTATAGACCATCTTTCTTTGATTGGTATATTTGAAACTTGGTCCAGTGTAAACATGTATTATTGTCTACTTCAAGAGCCTGAAGGTACAACACAGCATTCATTCTGACTTTACATTTTGTGAATCAGCAGAACCTAGTTTAACTTTTAAAAAAGAAACTCTGTCATGAGAGAATCATGAAGGCTGTAACTGCTAAACTCTAATTCTGAGAATGCTATCATGCTGTTATTTTGGCTTTGCTGCTATCTGACCCATAACAAGTAAAGGAATTCTGGATCTTCTATGACATTCATTTACAGTATGCTTGTTCCAGGAATTTGGCTTAAAAATATAAGTATATAAGTATAACAGACAGATCTGGATTTGGACAAGCATCCATGCATATACTCATTGAATATCATACACAAGTGTGCATCAATATTCAGGCTACCTAATACACCAATCCTGTGGAGGTTATACTTAGTATAAGTTTTTATTCATCCAGAATATGAGTTTCTGGGTATGTGTAACCCTTTTTATATGCACTATTACATTGTATTTGTAATAAACTTATCTTGCTTTTATACATAAATGTCTCGTAGTGTGCCTATAAAGTTCTTATTTGGGAGCTGGCAGAGAGTAATCCTCTCCTTCAGGTTCTTTCTTTTTCCTTCCTATTATTTTGGATGTGGCACTTTGACAGTCTCTAGTATACAATTATTTTTATATTAACATATTTGTTCTCTTTTTTTATTTCCTGTTTTATTTACTAAAATTATTTTTTTTCCATTAAACAAATACTACACAAAAAAGCATAAAAGACATCCCAACACAAGATGAACTACAACCAGAAGAACAGCTAGACAAAAAACACAATACTAAAGCATTACATAATTTACAACAATGCACAAACTAATGTTCTTATGGTCCGAAAAAGAGGATTTTGTTTTATACCAAATATTAAAGATGTACTCCAGAGCTTGCAAAATTTGTCATGTTACCACCAAACAGTTATAAAAGAAACCACACTACTCTTTCCACTTCCCATGCCTTTCAACCGAACCACTCTCAGACAAAGTATTTGTACCCGTTGAAAAGCTAACTGTTCTAATTTCAAATTTAAATTATCTGTCATAATCCATCCACTTACTGTGGATGAGCTAGTGAGATCCACATTTGTGCAAAGAATTTTCTAGCAAGGAGCAATGTTTTACTAAGCCCCAGTTAGCTGACTTTCTTAGTTCACTTTCTGAAATTTCTAGATGCCCCAAAGTGCAAATGTCTGGATGGCATGCAATGTTTGTTTTAAAAATAACATTATTATAGGTTGCACATCTTTTCAATATTGTACAAACTTAGGTGTCCTTTTATCATTTCGGTGCACCACTACTAGGATCCATACAGAAATACATATCTATCCTTTTCTTTCTGAAAACAATTAACTTTACTAGCCTATATACTATATAAGTATACTGAAACCACAAGAGTAAGAATAGCAAAAATGTACACCCTGGGTAAAATGTAACCTGTGAAAATACCTCGCTGTACTTGCATATCATCTGTCTCTTGTAAACAAAGTATAGCAGGCTGAAGATGGTGAAAAAGCACCACTAACAGTTTAGTGGCATCCCCATCCCTTTTACATTCCAAGAAGCCACATGTTTATGGCTATTCAAATTCAAACACAAATTCCCCAGTGACAATAATAGAGGTTTAAGCTTAATATAAGAAGGAGAAGAAAAAAAAACACCTGGTTCAATTTTTCACATAATGTGGACATGTAAATCTCTCAAATCCTATTTGAACAAAGTGTTTCAATTACTTTCTTCAATCACTGCAACCCCGATGATACCAAACACAGCTCTCGCACTCCTACACATAGGGATCGAAAAATTCCCTACAGATTCTCGTACCATCATCATACACACATTAGCAGCTGCCAAAATCAACATTGCCAAATTATCTTACTGACCTTAACTTTCAATGCGAGATGGAAAAAAGATCAGCACTTCATAAATCCTCTTATCAGAAATTTGAATACCTATGGTCTCGATGGCTACAAAACCCCAACTGTACTGTAAATTGATACCCATATAACTATACTATATAAGAACCTTTGTAATTTACTGGTGCTTAGTTTCCCCCCCCCTCCCTATCCACTCCCCCCCCTCCTCCTCCCCCTACCCCTTTCCTATCCCTTACTCTCTTTATACGCAACACCTCACACAATCCTGGTTCACACTACGCCAAGTATACCTCTCAAGTAAGCAAAATCTATATTGATGCTGTCCCTATCCAAATGGTAGGGAAATTACTGCATATATACCTTGCTATACTTAATGTGAACCGTACTGTCACACCATACCCTGTTCTGTTAAAAAAAAAAAACATTTGAACTAAAAAAAAAAACACCTGAACACTTAATTTTTTCCTCTGGAATAAAAAAAGAGTAAAAGAATAAAAATAAACCCTGACTTGGTAACTTAATCACACTGAGAGACAACTTGTCTCCACTCTAAACACTAGGGACCCCTACTTATAAGTCCCACAGGAAAGAGGAAAAAACAAACAAACACTCTTCTAGCAGCACTAGATGCAGTATTATCCAAGCAAGGGCCAGGCTGTAAAAGTGAAGGAAATAGTTTGTTTGGGCAAACTTTAAAGCTGATCCCAGGCAAACAGCTAAATGCACAGATGAAATGTACAAAGACTGCTGCTTTAACTGCCGAATGATGTATATGCTTGTTCACACAGTCCTAAAATGGTACAGCTAGTCTGGTAACATAACTTTTTTTCTGCTGCAGGTAATGATAAGTCACCTCTATGTGCCCAACCTGTGACAGGGCAGAGAAGAAGCAGCAGTACATTCCTCTGCTCTTACCTGCTGTCAGCATGTTTTCTTTTCAGCAGGCAGCATATTTGATTTTTCTAGTTCTACCCCCCTCTTCCTCCCAGTCTAAGTGCTGCTGTGCTGTACATTACAAGAGGATATCACCAAGTCAAAATCAAGTACTTACACTAGCTACATTTAAAAATAAATCATATTAGTTTTCATGAATAAATTACTGTATTTTTTCTGTTTATTATTTATATCTAAAGTTGAGCTTTATTCTTAAGTGCCTGCTTCTAACTTGACAGTGCCCAGTGCCACCTGTTCCCCAATCTGTAGCAGCAGTCCTCCAAAAACTCTTATCCAAATACCAGATATTGTGTTTGGGCTAGTGACACCCTCTTACTGCAACGCACAAATTTGATGACATGTTGCTTAGGCATTAAGTAATGTAGGAAGCTGGGGACAGTGGAGGATCTGGGGAAGAGGTCAACACTGTCAAATTGGGTGCAAGCACCTTATGGTTTCTCCTTTACTGTAACAGTTTCTGGACCATCAATTAACGCTCAACTCCAAACTTAAAACAAAGCTCCACCCAAAAGGGGCAGTTCCACTTTAAGGATTGGCACCTTTGAGGAGCAGGTACCCGAAATTGACAGGTATCCGCTCCCACTTCCGCTACAATCGCCTAGGCAACGGGAAGCAGAAGTTGTCCTCCCCCCCCTCACTGCCTGTAGTCTTCTGGGACACGTGACAGGTCCCAAAAGACTACGGGACCATTCACAAAGCGCATATGCAGTGAGCGCCTGGCTGTGAAGCCACAAGCTTTCACAGCGGGGTGCCCACACTGAAGATGCCAGTTCCGGGAACACAGGGTGGCCAGCGAAACTGGCTGCAGGGGGGACAACGCGGGAAAGAGGGCCAAGTAAGTGTTTGTTTTTTAAAAGTCAGCAGCTACAGTTTTTGTAGCTGCTGACTATTATTTTTTTTATTTTCCCTGGAACTCCTTATTTTTTTTTGGATAAGGTGGGGAACAGTTAGAATTTATGTCAGGATCTTCTGCTCAGTTCCAAAGAGAAACACAAACAACAATAAACATCTGGTAGAGTTTCTAACCCTACTTCTATGCAAACCTAAAAACTATTTGGATTTAGGATCTGGAGTTAGGATTTAAGACAGTATTTTCTGTAAACAGAGATGCACAATTTGTATAGCTTTTTTTTTTTCATTTAGCCCTATCGCGGGAAAGTGCCATTTTTTTTTGATCACCCCTGTGACCGTGCCCCCACTGTGTGTCCTCGGCTCCACTTGTCCATGGTGCAGGTAGAGGAGAGGGAGGAGAGTGGACAGACATCCGCTCTCCTCCCCTTCTTGAGGCTGACCCAAATTGTAAAATTGTCACTTCTGGGTCCCCATCTCCTTTTCACCGCATGGGAAATGTGAGACATCAGTTTGGGTAGGAACATACATGCTGGCTTTTATCTTGCAATGCTGCATTTTCACGTTGAAAGGGAAATGTACAAAATGTTTGCCAAAAGACTGGATGCTGTACTGTTAACAACAAACACAGTGGGTTCACCATTGCATTTACAGAATAAATTGGCATGTGTAATGTTAACTGATTGATACATTGCCACATAGAATTACAAATCAGAGAGAGTTATTAAATCAAAGTTTCTGTATTCACACTATGGCATTTTGAATCGAAACAGAATTTCCGCAATTCTGCCCACGATTTCAAAACGCCCTGCTAAAATCACAAATTGAGGAACCGTGTGTTAAGGTGGCAGTCATTATAATGGCGCCTGAAAACGTGGTGAACTTCTGCCACACTTGTCACAGGATAAATCTTGCTGCAATCACGGCAAATTGCACCACGTGAAGCCTGAACTTATTTTGGGCAACAGGCTTTGTGCAATGCAGTTTGCCACGACTGCAGAGAGATTTAGTACCCCATCATTGGTGTCAGTGGGAGGACTAGTACCCGACTGTTAATGTCAGTGGAAGGTATAAAGCCTCAAGGGCCAGATAAAGGCAAGCAAAAGACAGCCTCTGCCCCCGGTCCACAGTTTGGACACCACTGCTCTAGGGTGTCTGCTTTCAGAAAATATATAATGTTTTGGGGGTTGTATGTAATCCTCAGGCCTAAAATATTTTTTTTTAACGTGTGCAAAACAATGCAAAAATGGCTCTGGTAGCAAAAGGGTTAACACGGCGGAGACATTGAAGCTTGATTTGGCTGCTCAGTATGCACTTGTACTGAGCACCCAAGTGCTTCTGTGTGCAAGGGTAACCTGAAGGAATACAATTTTTTGATTTTCCTCATTGGGGCCGACGCTTCATTACTCACTCACCAGAGGCGCTTCTGCTAAGCGTTAAGAGAACCCGACACTCCCCTTTCCTGATGAGCACCCAATCGGTGCTCGTCACACTGCAAGGCCTCTCCCCTCCCTGCTAGCCCTCAGGTGCAGTGCTGGAGACAGGCAGGGAGGTGAGGAGGAGATAAACAGGACAATGTTAAAAACATTTAAAGTTTAAGTCACCATAAAGCCCCTTTCATTTTTAAAGCCCCAGACATTGCTAAATGCACCTCAGATTTAAATACGGTTTTGGTTAAAATTCTTTTTTTTCATCTGGACAAGTAGATTGTCATGAGGGACAAGCAGATTGGGACCCCGATTTAATCCCTTGGACAAATAGTGTTTTATAACAATTTCCACATCCCTGTGTAAACACTGAAAGTTATGTAGTGTAGAAACTTCCTTCATCAGCTTAGAATAAAATTCAAGAACCATTTAATTTGTTAAACTTGTAAAAAAAAAAAAAAGGCACATACCGGCCATTTTGTAATGTCATCAGGCCATTCGTGTGGAGGCACGGAAGCTGGTTCAGCGCAAAACCTAAATATGAATTATCTGTTATTGATTTTCTCAGTTGCATCACTCAAAAGATAGGTTTTAAATATAACAAGCATAATTGTATGGAGAACAGGAAAGACATTTTAAATAAAAAAAAACATTGAAGAGCAATGCTAAATTTAGTGATTAGATTTAAAAAAAATCTGTGATTGCCATTTCACTCATAAACCAATATAACAACACCCTTTCTTGTTTGTATGTTTTCCTTTCTCATATATATATATATATGTATATCATATACAGTTGCAAGAAAAAGTATGTGAACCCCTTGGGATTACGTGGAGTTTTGCATGAATTGGGCATAAAATGTGCTCTGAACGTCATCTAAGTCACAACAATAGAAGAACACAGTCTGCTGAACAAATAATACTACACAAACATTAGATGTTGCCATGGTTTAATTGCACATAACATGTAAACATTCACAGTGCAGAGAAAAAGTATGTGAGGCCCTAGCTTAATGACTTCTCCCAGAGCTAATTGGAGCCAGGAGTGAGCCAACCTTGACTAAAAATAGTGTGATGATATTGGATGTGTTGCTGACAGCTGTCCTGCCCTTAAAAAACACACACCTGTTTTGGGTTTACTGGTTTCAAGAAGCACTGTCTGATGTGAACCATGCCTCACAGAAAAGAGCTCTCAGAAGACCTACGATCAAGAATTGTTGACTTGCAAGAAGCTGGAAAGGGTTACAAAAGTATCTCCAAAAGCCTTGATGTTCATGTGTCCACGGTAAACAGACTGTCTACAAATGGAGAAAGTTTAGCACTGTTGCTACTCTCCCTAGGCGTGGTCGTCCTGTAAAAATGACTGCAAGAGCACAGTGCAGAATGCTGCATGAGGTAAAGAAGAATCCCAGAGTGTCAGCTAAAGACCTACAGAAATCTCTGGCACATGCTAACATTTTTGTTGACACATCTACAATAAGGAAAACACTAAACAAGAATGGAGTACATGGGAGGACACCACGGAGGAAGCCATTGCTGTCCAAAAAGAATATTGCAGCACGTTTGAAGTTTGCAAAAGAGCACCTGGATGTTCCACAGCACTACTGGCAAAATATACTGTGGACAGATGAAACCAAGATTGAGTTGTTTGGGAAGAACACACAACACTATGTGTGAAGAAAAAAAAGACACAGCACACCAACATCAAAACCTCATCCCCACTGTAAAACACGGTGGAGGGAGCATCATGGTTTGGGGCTGCTTTGCTGCCTCAGGGCCTGGACGAATTGTTGTCATTGATGGGAAAATGAATTCCAGAGTTTATCAAGACATTTTGCAGGAAAACGTACGACCATCTGTCCGCCAACTGAAGCTCTGCAGAGGATGGGTGATGCAACAGGACAATGACCCAAAGCATACAAGTAATTCAACAAAACAATGGCTGCAGCAGCACAGAATACGCCTTCTGGAGTGGCCCAGTCAGAGTCCTGACCGCAACCCGATTGAAATGCTGTGGCATGACCTTAAGAGAGCGATTCACACCAGACATCCCAAGAATATTGCTACACTGAAACAGTTTTGTGAAGAGGAGTGGTCCAAAATTACTCCAGATCGTTGTGCAGGTCTGATCTGCAACTACAGGAAACGTTTGGTTGAGGTTATTGCTGCCAAAGGAGGGTCAACCAGTTATTAAGTCCAAAGGTTCACATACTTTTTCCTCCCTGCACTGTGAATGTTTACATGTTATGTGCAATTAAACCATGGCAACATCTAATGTTTGTGTAGTATTATGTTCAGCAGACTGTGTTCTTCTATTGTTGTGACTTAGATGACGTTCAGAGCACATTTTATGCCCAATTCATGCAAAACTCCACGTAATCCCAAGGGGTTCACATACTTTTTCTTGCAACTGTATATATATATATATATATATATATATATATATATTGCTTATTGGTTTCCATATATGCACTATTGCAATTCTCTGATGACTTTACTGATTCCATAATAATTGAGCTATGTCCGCGGACCCTTATAAATTAAGAATTTTTTTAAAACTCGGTCTGTATTCTTGTACCAAGTTTTGTGTCATACTGTGTTTTGCTGACAAATGTGGGGTTCCACAATATGGGCACTATACTGCAGTGAAAAAACAAAACAAGCCCATCAGAGAGATAGCAAAAACATTAGGCATGGCCAAAACAACTGTTTGGAACATTCTTAAAAAGAAGGAACGCACCGGTGAGCTCAGCAACACCAAAAGACCCGGAAGACCACGGAAAACAACTGTGGTGGATGACTGAAGAATTCTTTCCCTGGTAAAGAAAACACCCTTCACAACAGTTAGCCAGATCAAGAACACTCTCCAGGAGGTAGGTGTATGTGTGTCAAAGTCAACAATCAAGAGAAGACTTCACCAGAGTGAATACAGAGGGTTCACCACAAGATGTAAACCATTGGTGAGCCTCAAAATCAGGAAGGCCAGATTAGAGTTTGCCAAACGACATCGAAAAAAGCCTTCACAGTTCTGGAACAACATCCTATGGACAGATGAGACCAAGATCAACTTGTACCAGAGTGATGGGAAGAGAAGAGTATGGAGAAGGAAAGGAACTGCTCATGATCCTAAGCATACCACCTCATCAGTGAAGCATGGTGGTGGTAGTGTCATGACGTGGCCATGCATGGCTGCCAATGGAACTGGTTCTATTGTATTTATTGATGATGTGACTGCTAACAAAAGCAGCAGGATGAATTCTGAAGTGTTTCGGGCAATATTATCTGCTCATATTCAGCCAAATGCTTCAGAACTCATTGGACGCCGCCTCACAGTGCAGATGGACAATGACCCAAAGCATACCGCAAAAGCAACCAAAGAGTTTTTTAAGGGAAAGAAGTGGAATGTTATGCAATGGCCAAGTCAATCACCTGACCTGAATCCGATTGAGCATGCATTTCACTTGCTGAAGACAAAACCAAAGGGAAAATGCCCCAAGAACAAGCAAGAACTGAAGACAGTTGCAGTACAGGCCTGGCAGAGCATCACCAGGGATGAAACCCAGTGTCTGGTGATGTCTATGCGTTCCAGACTTCAGGCTGTAATTGACTGCAAAGGATTTGCAACGAAGTATTAAAAAGTGAAAGTTTGATTTATGATTATTATTCTGTCCCATTACTTTTGGTCCCTTAACAAGTGGGAGGCACATATGCAAACTGTTGTAATTCCTACACCGTTCACCTGGTTTGGATGTAAATACCCTCAAATTAAAGCTGACAGTCTGCAGTTAAAGCACATCTTGTTTGTTTGATGTCAAATCCATTTTGGTGGTGTATAGAGCCAAAAATTTTAGAATTGTGTCGATGTCCCAATATTTATGGACCTGACTGTATATAGCGCCAACAGTTTGCGCAGCGCTTTACAATATAAGAGAGAAAGTACAATTACAATACATTTCAGTACAGAAGGAATGTGAGGGCCCTGCTCGTGGAGCTTACAATCTAAAGCAAGGGGGAGGTGATACAAAAGGTGATAGCTGCGCGGGATGATCTGGTGGAGGTGATTCACGTACAGTTCTTAGGTGGACGTAGGGTAGGCTTCCCTGAAGAAGTGAGTTTTCAAAGATCGCCTAAAGGCAGACAGGGAGGGGCTGACCGGACATGCTGTGGTAGGGAGTTCCAGAGGATGGGAGAGCCTCGGGAGAAGTCCTGGAGGCGAGCGTGGGAGGAGGTGATGAGGGAGCTAGAGAGGAAGATTTCTTGGGAGGAGCGGAGTGGGCGATTTGGCCGATATCTGCAGATGAGGTCGGTGATGTAGCTAGGGCCAGTGTTGGGGATGGCTTTGTAAGCTGTGGTTAGTATTTTGAATTTTATACGTTGGGTTAGTGGAAGCTAGTGAAGGGATTGGCAGAGAGGGGCAGCAGTCGCTGATCAGTTGGTAAGGTGTATGAGTCTAGCAGCAGCATTCATAATAGACTGAAGCGGGGATAGCCTGTGTAACGGTAGACCAGTGAGGAGGGAGTTGCAGCAATCGAGGCAGGATATAACCAAGGCGTGGATGAGTTGTTTTGTGGTGTCATTCGTCGGGAAGGGGCAGATTTTGGAAATGTTCCGGAGGTTGAGGCGGCAGGATTTAGCCAGTGAGTGGATGTGGGGCCCAAAGGAGAGGTCAGAGTCTAGGATTACGCCAAGCACCCTGGTATAATGGGAAGGACCAATGGTTGTGCTGTTGATCTTAATGGTAAAGTCGTGAGTGGGGGATCGGGGAGGAGGAAATATCACAAGCTCAGTTTTTGAAAGATTTAGTTTGAGGTAGTGAAGTGACATCCATGCTGATATGTCGCTTAGTAGATTTGTGATACATGAGGAGATTGAGGGGGTGAGCTGGGGAGTGGAGAGATAGATATGGGTGTCATCAGCATAGAGGTGGTATTGGAAGCTGTCAGGTACCTACCGACGGTAGCTCTAGTGCTCCACAGACCGGATTTCCTCAGGGCGTGGAGTCTAAGCCCCTATCTTCTTGTTCACCAGAGCCCCTGATGGTGGGGATGGACTTGGAGCAGACTGAGACCTGGTCGCGGCCCCTGGGTACACCCAGCTGTGGTAGAGGGAACTGCCAGTGGCACGTAGCAGGATGAGAGCCTGATGTGAAGAGGCAGAACAGGCCCAGACCGCAATGGATGGATCGGAGCAGGATGGATGGAACACACTGGAACAATAGCGGAGTCAGACAGGCCATGTCGGTAACAGTGGAGGCAGAGCGGTACAGAGCAGCAGGTAGAGAGTCGTCGGGTCACAGTCCAGGTTCAGCAGCAGGAGATCAGATAATCGGGAATAGGCAGAAGAATGGTCAAACGAGCCAGAGGTCAGGGCAGGAGAAGGTCAGCGGTAATCAGGATCAAGCAGGGTTCGGCAACAACAGAATACTCTCACAGGAACAGGAACAACAAGGAACAAGACCATATGGCAATTAGAGCATTGCAAGAGCCAGTTTAAATAGTGTGCCCTGCGCTGTCATTGGTGCCAGGCGCGCGTCCGCATGCGCGAGTGTGCATGCGTGGCTGCAGTTGTTGCCGCGGGCGCCTATGTCCTAGTGCCCCCACGCTTGTCCGCATCGCGGCGAAACTCAGGATCCCTGACAGAAGCCATGGGAGGTTATCAGTTGGCCCAGGGAGAAGGTATAGATAGAGAAAAGGAGGGGCCCAAGAACAGAACCTTGGGGTACCCCAACAGAAATGGGAATAGCAGAGGAGGAGTTGTATGAGACACTGAAAGTGCACTGAGAAAGGTAAGAGGAGAACCAGGAGAGAGCAGAGTCACGGAAGCCAATGGAGTGGAGTTTACTGAGGAGGAGCGGGTGGTTGACTGTGTCAAAGGCAGCGGAAAGATCAAGGAGTATGAGTATGGAGTAATGGCCGTTGATTTTAGCAGTTAGTAGGTCATTAGTGAGTTTTTAGTAGGGTAGTTTCTGTGGAATGTTGTCGGCAGAAGCCAGACTGTCGGGGATTAAGAAGGTTGGTGAGGTAGCAGTTCATACGGTTGTGAACAAGGCGCTCGAGAAGCTTGGAGGCAAACGGGAGCAGGGAGATGGGTCTTAAGTTGTTCAAACAGGTGGGGTCCAGTGAGGGTTTTTTGAGAATGGGGGTAACCAGTGCATGTTTGAGTGGCGAGGGAAAGGTGCCCATAGAGAGTGAGAGGTTGAAGATGTGGGTTAGAGAGCTTAGGATAGAGCAGGAAGGAGGCTGCAACAGTCGTGAGGGGACAGGATCCAGGGGACAGGTGGTGAAGTGGGCCTTGGAAAGGAGATCGGTAACTTCCTTGGTGGTAACAGGGTCGAAGGAGGAGAGTGTTGAGTTTGGTGTTGGGCCTGGTATGTTGGTTGGAGGAGGAAGTTTGACACTGGAGATCTCATCACAAATTGTGTCGATCTTCTTGAAGTGACTGCCAATCTATTGTGCAGTAAGTAAGTTGGTGGGCGGAGACAGTGGGGGGTGGAGTAAGCAATTAAGGGTAGAGAAGAGTTGACGAGGATTGGATGAGAGGGTCTTGATGAGAGTGTTATAGTAGGTTTGCTTAGCAGCGTGGAGGCTGGAGTTGTTTGAGAAGAGCGGATTTGTAGAGGGTAAAGTCTTTCAGGGATTTAGTTTTACGCCATGCTCGCTCAAGAGTGCAGCTGCGTCTCTTGAGACTTCTGGTGTTGACTGTTTGCCAGGGTTGAGACAGGAAGGCCTGGTTCTGCAGTTGTAAACAGAGGAGCAAGAGCATCCAGGGAGGATGATAGATAGTTGTAGGCAGATGTGGCCAGGTCTGGGCAGGGCAGGGGTGCAATTTCATCATAGAGGCGCTCAGTAGGTCAGGGCTGAGGTGATGGAGGTTTCTACAGATGACGGTTTGCTGGTTGGAGGCATGGGGTGTAGGAGGCAGAGAGAGTGTGAAGCTGACAAAGTTGTGATCAGAGAGAGAAAAAAGGGGTGTTAGAGAGGTTACAGGGAGTGCATAGGTGGGTGAATTGAATACAAGGTCAAGGGTGTTGCCATTGCAGTGGGTGGTGGATTGTGACCATTGTGTTAAAAGAGGAAGTTAGGCTACGTTCACAGTAGCCTTGTTAGCAAGCAGCAGACAGGCGTTTGGGAAGCGGTTTTACCGCGTTAAAAACGCTCCACAAACGCCAGACCAACGCTTGTCAAACGCTATAGGGGCGTTTGGCAAGAGTTGGAAAAACAGTCAAGTGTGAACGAGCCCTTAGTCTCATGACCTAGTGCTTCCTTCTAGGCCATGGCTAAAGTAGGGATCAGCCTTCCTTCAGGGGTTTCATTTTTTTTACTCCCCACATAAAAGGCAATCTATTGGCTGGTAAATATCCCAGACACTGAATACCAGCTCTATTCAGCAATATATCATAAGATACTTTTATCTGCCATTTTTCTCCTTTTTTACAATGGAAATGCTTTTCAGTTTAAAAATTGATTGCTAAAAGCATTTTTTATTATTTTTATGATTCCCTAAAGTAAGCAGTTAAATGGTTTCGTAGGAGATACAAGGGAATGAAAAATAACTCAAAATCAAAAGGCCCTATGACACTCAGAAGCATGCATGCTTCTAAATAGCTTCAGCTGGCTTATTAGATTCCAGGGAACAAAAAGTATCTTTTAGCCTATGAGTCCAGTATGATGACAGTCCCATAGTTTATGGTGGGTAGGAAAAGGCAACTTATGGGGGAGGGGCAGAAGTTGATGGAAGATGGGGTAGGAGGGTCAGGAACAGATGGTGGAAGAGGGTAGAAGTTATCTGGGGGAGGGACAAGGGCTGATAATGAGAGGGGACAGAGAGTGCATCAGTATATTATCTTGAGGATGCAAGACAGCAAGGATAAGGGGAATAAATACAGAGAGAGAAGGTGAATGTAAAGTGCACAGAGTTAACCCTTTGATTGCCCCTAAATGTTAAACCCCTTCCAATCCAGTGTCATTAGTACAGTGACAGCATATATTATTAGCACTGATTACTGTATCAGTGTCCACTGGAGATGTCAGTGTCATTTAGTCAGTTCCCACCCAGTATCAGTTAGTGTCAGATTGCCCACCATACTACAACAGTCCCACTATAAGTCACTGATCCGCCACCATTACTAGTATGAAAAATAAAAATAAATAAATATTCCAGTATATACCATCATTTGTAGACGCTATAACTTTCATGCAAACTAATGGATTTACACTTATTGGGATTATTTTTACCAAACACATGTAGCAGAATATATTTTGGCCTAAGTTTATGAAGACATTTCAATTTTTTTATTTTTTATTGGATATGTTTATAGCACAAAGTAAAAAAAACATTATTTTTTCAATATTTTCCTGCTTTTTGTGTTTTATATAATAAACAATAACAATACCACCAAAAGAAATATCTACTTGTGTGAAAAACAATCATATACATTTAATTTGGGTACAACGTTGCAATTACCAGTTAAAGTAACAATAGCACAAAAAGGCCTGGTCATGAAGGGGGTAAAACCCTCCAGAGTTTAAGTGGTAAAAGAGAGAGGGAGATAAGAGATGTGCAGGACATGGGCCAAAGACCAAAGGAGGTTTGGTGGGCATGTTTTATAAGGAGCAGATGGGAGAGGGCCAGGATATCAGAGGAGAGAAGCTGGACATATGAAATGAACCTCAGAGCAACGGCAGCCTTTGTGAAGAGAGTATATGATATCCGTATCAGTAGTACAGGAGCATGGAGGAGCAGTATGGAAAGTGGGGGCAAATGTGTAGCATTCTGGACAGAATCTTGGATGGAAGGGTAGAGGAGAAGGCAGCAGTAGAGGACCTTAGACAACAAGGGGAATGGAGTCAGCAGGAGCAGATAATGGCAGAAGGAGAAGGTGAGAGCCCAGAGAAGATGCACAAATATGAACTGCGGTTCCTTGTTCTTGCTGGCATGAACAAAAGAAGGTGTAAATTCTGTACACAGCAAAACACTCTAAAGTAAATGGTGGGACTTAGCGGAAAGGGGCAGGACTTGATACTGACAGGACTTCAGCATTTAAATGAAATAGCATCCAACATTTTGAATCAGTTAGGAAACCTAGCAGTCAAGTAAAACTATGGCAACCAGGTAAATAAAAAGACAGTACAGCAGATTTGATATGAATAAAGAGTAGTAAGATCCATGTGCCTGCAGCAGCCTCGAGTACTGAAGGTAAGAAGACCTGGCACTTTCATATATTAGGTGAGTAATGATGATGGAGAAGGAAGGTGCAGGGGTATTAAAGATGTGACTACAAGTACCTGAGAATTTTGGGCAGTAGGATGCAGAAATGAAACAAAACCCTAAGGGGAAGGAGCTGAGAAGTTACAGAAAAGGAGAACAGTAACAAAGAGATGGAAAGGGTGTCCCTCTTTAGGGTATTTACTTGTCTGTTTTTCTACAAAAGCAAACTCTGTTATTACTTTGTTTCTACTTTGTAGATTGCTTCTACCATTTGAATATATTATCAGTTTTAAAAACCCAGCCTAGATTAAATTTTACACACCAGTGTCAATGGCATTTTTAGCGATCCAGCTCAGGGTTATGCTGCAACACAAATTTGATCATAGCCGGACAGAACCTTTTGTATGCTGTATATAATCTATTCTGGCTAAAATTGGCATTGAATACTGAGGAGGCAACATGGGTAATCTTTAACTACGTGGATACCAAAGATCAGATTGCTGCCTCATTTCTAGAAAGAAAGAAAGAATTTAGCAGAATCTCACTCTCAGACTGAAAGATTAGCCCTTTCCAGACTTTTTACCTGAAGGCCTCTTATTTTTGAATACATCTTGGCAGAAGTCCTGTGAATGCCTGAACCTATTAGTGCATGTACCTTATGGCCAAAGGCAGAAGTGTACTGCTACAACATCCTTCATTTGGACCTAAGTGCCAGCCTACTACCTAATGCAGAATGACATACCTAATGACATCTGCCTGTACTTCACCATCAATTTAAAGTTCATTTGTAATTACCTTTGGCTGTTCATTAAAAAAAATATTACAGGCATGCCAAGCTCTTCTAAGCATACAGGTTAATGTGCCAAAAGACCTATTAAGCCTAAAGGTACATGGCACAGGAAAGGACAAAGCTAATTTGAATTTTATATAAATGGGGATCATTTTTCACTTGTGTCTAGGACAACCTAAGCTATAAATATAAACACAAGCACATATAGTTGCTCAATAGAACATAAGCATTCATTAAAGCCTAAAACATGAGATATTCCACATACATGCTCATACCTGGGATCCTGGCGACACACTGAGCCATAATTTCTTTCACTTTTGTTTGCCAAAAGTGGGGTGCTAGAATGACCTGGCCATTTGACCCATACAGCCAGGGTAGACTAGAAGAGAACAAAATAAAATAATAAATTAATAATAAAATAATGATTACACGTGTGGATGCTGTAATATATTCCATAAGATTTCACAGGGTAAAGTTAGATAAGCAATTCTAAAATCAGTAAAATAATAGGAAAAGCGTATAATTTGAGAAATGTCTCATGGCAGTTTTTTTATTCTCTTAGTAAATAGGCCAGGTACTCAAACTGGGGAATCAGTCTCTTTTTTGAGCTAGTTGCTAGTCATTGCATAGTAGTGTTATGAGTTAGAATGGTGTTTTTCAACCTCTTTTCAGTCAAGGCACCATTTAGGATTGTGCACAATACTGGGGCACACCAGTCTAAGAGATCATTCGCACAAGGAGGTATGTCTGAGCATGAGTGCTTTTTTGCTTTGTCACGTGTATTGCGTTTCATAGGCTGCTCCATGCTCGTGAAACACGCAAAAAAAAGTGCTGACATGATTTTAGCGGGCACAAACATACATGTATTTGGTGAGTGCATGGGAGTGCCATTAAGAATTAAGGATTGGCAGCATCCATTTTACCATACACTGCACATACCTTTCACTAAACGAGAGTCGGATAATGAGACTCTACATCCATGTTTGAGTGCATTGCCCCACCATGGTTGCCAGCATACAGGAAATTCTACTTAGCAGAAGTTAGACTAAATGGCATTCTGCACCTTTACTTTTTCTGCCTGAGGAGTTCTACATTGATTACATTCTGTTTCATTGGTGGGTGCTGTGCCATACACTATAAATGATGTACATGATGTACATGATGAGGGTAAGCCCCCACCACCACCGAGAGGATCAGCCCTCCCCCACCAGCTGCCTCCCTGCAAGCCACTAGGGACCCCAGGCTACTATCCCACCAGGGACCGCAAGCCCACCATCCCACCTGGGACCGCCACTATCCCTCCGGGGATCGCAAGCCCACCATCCCACCAGGGACTCAAACAGGGGCACCCACTACCCACCAAGGACTCCTAACCACCAAGGACCCTAGGCTACTATCCCACCTGGGATCACAAGCCCACCATCTCACCTGGGACCGCCACTATCCCTCCGGGGATTGCAAGCCCAACATCTCACCAGGGACTCAAACAGGGGCACCCACTACCCACCAGGGACTGCAAACCATGAAGGACCCTAGGCTACTATCCCACCTGGGATCGCAAGCCCACCACCAAACCAGGGACCACCAGCCCTACCACCCCGCCCTTCGGCGCGCTGTCCCTCGGGTGAAACTCCGACGACTCAACACCTCCCATCGCCGGGCCCTCAACACCTCCTGACGCCGGGCCCTCATCACCTCCCGAAGCTGTGCACTCAACGCCTCCGGACGCCGGCCTCAAGCACCCCTGACGCCGGACCTACAACACCTCCAATCACCGCGTCCCACGGCTCGTCCAGCAGCCGCCGCACCACTGTGCCCACCGACGCCATGCCACAACACCCACAGACGCCAGCCTACAGCACCCACAGACTGCAACCAGCCAGCTGCGGCCCCAGCCGCCCACCACTCCTCTCTCCCCTCCTACGTTTGGACACTGATGAATTCCGACATGGCATAATGGACTCTCCCCATCCTCACGTCTGCCTGAATGAAACCTCCCTCCTCTCCGAACCGATCAGCATTCTGCCCACCCTAGCATGCCACCTGCACTCCTCCTCCTCGTTCTCCTCTCCTCCATCCCCAAACTTGCCTCCCCTACTCCCGCAAAACAGCTCTACATCGCACTCTCACTTCTTCCCTCCCCCCTCTACAGCTCTCACCACCTCCTCCTAATACTCCACTCCCCCGCCGACCCACATGCCACCACCAACAGATCCACGCGCTCCTGCACCTCCCGTTCCCATGCCACCTTCCTCACCCTCCTCCTTCTCCTAACCGCCGGTGACATCTCCCCGAACCCTGGCCCTCCATCTCCCCACTCCCCCTCCCGGCACCCCCCTACTCACGCCAACCACCGCAACCCCCTCAATCTCATATCTGTCCCCCTCCTCCCCACATCCACCCCTCCACTCTCGGTTGCACTCCTGAACGCACGTTCGGTTTGCAACAAGCTCACCGCCATCCACGACCTCTTTGTCTCCCACTCCCTCAACCTCCTAGCGGTCACCGAAACCTGGATCCAAGACACTGACTCCACCTCCCCTGCTGCCCTCTCCTATGGAGGCCTCGTCTGGACCCATTCACCCAGACCGAGTGGACGCAGAGGCGGAGGGGTCCGTATGCTCCTACCACTGCTGAGCACCTTCCAGGTCCTCCCTAACCCCCCCTCCCTATCCTTCTCCTCCTTTGAGGCCCACGCATCCGGCTCTTCTCTCCCACCCCCCTAAGGATTGCGGTAATCTATCGGCCTCCTGGTTCTGTATGCCCCTTCCTAGATGACTTTGCCGCCTGGCTTCCCTTCTTCCTCTCCTCTGAGCACCGACCATCATCCTAGGCGACACCCTGGACCTCGTCTTCTCCCACCTCTGCACACCCCACGACTTCACTAACACCCCCTTCCCCCTCTCTGACCACCACCTCCTCACATTCTCCATCTCCCCCTCCCTTAACTCCCCCCCCCCCCCCCCCGAAGCGTCTAACCATCACCCACAACCTCCACAATCTGAACACGACCCATCTCCACCCAGCAGCTGACGGTCTGTATGACAGTATCCTCCCTCTGTCATGCCCTGACCTGGCCACTACTGCATACAACGACTCACTGTCAGCTGCCCTTGACTCCCTGGCACCCCTAACCACACGTAGCACTAGAACCTGACCACTTCACCCTGGCAAAACGACCACACGAAATGCCTCAAACGACGCAGTCGCGCGCTGGAGCGCTTATGGTAGAAAACCAGATCCCCTCGCGCGTTCTCCCTCTATAAAGCCGCCTACCTTGCCTACACCACCTCCCTCCATGCCGCCAAGCAAGCCTATTTCATAACCCTTATCAACACCCTCTCCACCTGTCCTTGTCGGCTCTTCTCCACTTTCAAATCCCTGCTCTCTTCCCCCCCACCCCCACTCACTCACTCACTCACCGCCCACGAGATTGCCAATCACTTCCAAAACAAGATTGACGCAATCCGCAAGTACATTGTCAACTCACAATCCACCTCTCCACCCCAGCCTCCCGCCCTCCTTTAACCCCTCAATCGTCCCCTCCCCCGACCTCATAGTCGCACTACCCCCAACTATACCTAATGCCCCGCACATCATCACCTCACCAACACTCCGCTTCTTCGCCAAACTACCCCTGAGCAGGTCTCTAAGGTCTTCACTGTAGCCTGCCTCACCACCTGCCCCCTGGACCCTATCCCCTCACAGCTCCTCCAGTCACCCCCCCCCCTCCATCATTCGCACCCTCACCCACATCTTCAATCTCTCCCTCTCCAATGGCACCTTCCCCTCCCCTCTAAAGCACGCACACATCACCCCCATACTCAAAAAACCCTCCCTTGACCCCACTAACCTTAACAACCTTAGACCCATCTCCTTGTTGCCCTTCACATCCAAGCTCCTTGAGCGCCTGGCCTACAATCGCCTAAGCGCCCACCTCACTGATAACAACCTCCTTGACCCCCTACAGTCTGGCTTCCGTCCTCTGCACTCCACCGAAACCGCCCTACTTAAAATCACCAACGACCTGCTAGCCGCCAAAGCCAATGGCCACTATTCTATCCTCCTGCTCCTTGACCTCTCCGTGGCCTTCGACACTGTTAGGAATGGACTGGCCAGCAATGGTGGGACTCACCTGCCTTTTGATCTGCAGTACCAGGGCTGGCCAGCGGGTGCTCCCAGCAATCAGAGACTCAACCTTTCAGCCAGCTAACACCTGGAACTGATGATACTGGTGTATTTAAGGGATGGCCAGACTTGCAGACTCTGCCTTGGTGTTGTGTTTGTCCTGGGCCCTGTATCTGTCCTGCATCCTGTTTCTGTTCCTTTGCTGACTTCTCCTGCTCTGATCCTGGCTTGTGACCCTGACCATCCCTCTGTCTGACCCTCTGTACTACGCTGCTTGCTACCTGTTCTGATCCCTGGCTTGTGACCCGGACCATCCCTCTGCCTGACCCTCTGTACTATGCTGCTTGCTACCTGCTGAACCTGGCCTGTGACCCCGACCATTCTCCGCTTGCTCCCCCTGTACCTACCTGCCCAATTGATATTGACCGGCCTGCCTGACGACGCTTGCTTGTATATACTGTTATCTGTGGGTGGTTTGGTTTGTTTGCACTGTATTATGTTTTAGTATTGCACTGCGTTTATGTTTGTACTGTTAGTGTTAATAAATTATATTGTTTATAACATATCTGAGGTCTGCGTTTCCCTGCTTCAGTCACACACCTCTGGTCATACCTGGGAGCCCTGACATTACACCAAGGCCAATCCTGACCAAGTGGCTGCACAGGGAAGCCATCTTGGCTTGTTGATGGGAAGGATGGATCTTGAGGAGGTTGAGTATTTATATCTGCTAGTGTTTGATGACAGGGAGTATGCTTATCAAACTCTGAAGGAGTATACCCGGGATGAATTGCTAGAATGTATACGGGCTCGCTCATGTTCTAGTAGATCAGGGCACAGTGTTCTCTGAGGTGCAGCCATTGATTGAGGTTTGTGCAGAGTTGGTTTCATCTGGTTCCCCCGAATGCAGGGATGAATTTTTGCCACCATTTAGTGCAGACCAGGGTGAGAGTCCCTGGTGTGGTTATTAGAGGATGATGTGGGTTACTTTCTGGAGCGTTATTCCACATGTTCACCACAGACACTGAGAGATTGTATAAACGCAGTGCAGTCATTGACCAGACAGACTTTGTGTAAGCTCAGCTTTGTTCAACCCCTACTGCAGACATGGACAGATTTGTTGCACCCAGCCTCAGTCAGCTTACAAAGACCCAGTCCTGCTTCTAACTCTACTCCTGTATTCCCACCAGCTCCTCCAGTTACAGCCCAGTATACTTGGCTATCTACCGCATGTCAGTACCCTGTTCCCACTCG